AGATGGAAAGGCTACGTCGTACTGCTAAGATAGTTTGCAAGCGGAGGAATGCAGACGGCGGTACGGATTGCTCAGACACCACTCAATCACTGGGATACGGCAACCTTCCATCCCGCGTTGTCGCGGCCGCAGCGCTGGTACGTCCGTGGGACCGCCCCTCTCAACTGGTCGGATATGGACTGTACTTTTTTCAGCATTTCATTTTTCCCGAAGCTCAAGCAAATCACTGGCGCAGCAGATCAGGAAAAGAGATAATAACATGAGATGGAGAAGAAACCATTTCGGAGATTGCAAAGACCGCTGTTTCGCAGAAAACTTAACATTTTGTATTGTGCTCAAATCATCTTCTGTAAGAAATTACGACTGCTTTGAGGTCCGTGCTCAGTTGAAGAAATAAGAGGGGGAAATAATTATAAATTTCTTAGCTATTGTAAGTTTTTTTGGATAGATAAGTGAAAAGCGGGAGCAATCTCAATTCAATCTCACCAGGAAAGGTCATTTGGTCAACCCGGCCATTTGAAATGAGATGTATATATATGTCTATACGCGCCTTGGGACGCTGAGCTCAAATATGTGTTCCTTATCTGCTGAACTCTTCTCTGAAAGGAATTATGAAGCAAAAAGCGCAGAGGCAGTGGTCGAGGACATCAACCACTCCGCAGGATGATAGCACTGTGACTTCCACAGATCGGCTGCCAAGTCGTCAGGACCACTTGCTTTACCTGTCTTCATCTTCTTCAGCGCCGCTTCAGTTTCTTCCACAGTTATCTTCGAGACAGGACCGTAGACGGGAGGAGCAGAAGGGATTGGCGGATGTGAGAATTCTACTGTCGAGATTTTCTCGAAGTAGTCGTGCCATCGCTTTACTGCCTTCTTGCGGTCCATTAGGAGCCGCCCGTTCTCGTCATTAATGCCGAAAAACTTCTCGACATCCTCGGTTTGGCGATGGCGAGCTTTGGCTAGTCTGTCATATCGTTCGCCATCGCGCGTCTCGAGTTTCTCGCTAACGCTGGCGAAGTGAGCAGCTTTGAACGACAGCCACGGCTTTCTTTGCGGCCTTCTTCGCCTCCTGGTAGCTCTCCCAATTTTTATTGTTTATTTTTTATTTATAAGTTCTCGGCTGTTTGTCGCTGAGGAACGTATGACGGAGTCTTTTCTTCGCACTTTCTGTAGACAGTGTCAGTCCACAGCCGTGTCTGTCAGTCGATTTTCCGGCACCAGGCTTTGTGATGCCGAAGTTCGGAGCGAGCGACACGGACTATCGCTTCGGTGGCACTTTCCCACGTTTCGTCGACGGTCGTTACTGCATGCGGTAAGCGAATGCGGGAAAACAGGGCAGATTCCTTTTCTTTCAGTCGCCACCACTTGATCCTTGCAGG